GCTTGCCCAGTCCCTGGAACAGCAGGCAAGGACGGGTTATTGTCTGGCTCACTGTTCCAGAGGTCCCTGCCATAGGAGAAATCTCTCCTAGTCTATCGCTCGCTTTCCAGTTTGTGGGAGCACCCAACACCAACAGCTAGCTATGATAAATTAACACAATGCCATGCCCTTTTAGTGCTTTGTTTTTCAACCTCTAGTAGGTTAGGGGGAGGGGAAGAAGGAAAAAAAAGAAAAGGCATCAATGTATGCTTTAGAGTATGTCCTGAAGACTAACCATTTAGGACTATTTCAGACCAAGGCTGGAAATTCTGAAGTCCCCTATGGGACATGGCCTGCCAATATTCCCATCTGTTTTAGCCCATTGGTATAGTTAGTGCATCAATTCTGCAAGTACTCTGCTACTGCTAGCCACTGAATTATATTACTTATCAGATACAAGTAAAGAGTAATGGTCAATATATGAAATTTTTAAGGGTGCTTTGCTTTCCTTGGAAATATTTTAGGTGAGGGGTTTGTAAACTGAGATAGGTTGAAAACCACTGCATTAGTCCATTATTACTAACACATCTCTACTCCTGCAGATATATCCAACATAGTTCCCTACTACCTCAATCACCAGCCACAGTTAGAAAAAAGGAAAAAAAAAAAACCCTCCCCCCAGTGACCAGAATGGTACATTTTTTCCTCCACAAGAGCTAAAGCTCCTCCTTAACTACCAAATCTATTATACAGCAAATGCCAAAACCAGTTTTCAGAGAAATGTTGTGCGGGTGAACTGTGCTCTACTCAAATTCTTACTATTCCTTCATCACTGTCTGTGGGTCAGATAAATCACTACTCCTTTCTTGAATCCCTTCTGGAAAAACATGAACATACCCCAGAGTTCAGAAGCGACACACACAAATTGTGCTGCCATACAGCAGAATGTTTACAGGATAATAGACATAACATGACAATGAAGAAGTGCTCCAAGATTTCCATCTTGCCTCAGTACACAGATGTTCTCCTTTTGTTGTGGCTTTGAATCCTGAGATGAGCAGATGTTGCAACATTTCAATGTTCCTCTTCTGAAAAAAGGATAACACACAGCTACATGCCCACTGTTAAGCCTCAAACTTTAAAGACATAAAATCGATGAGCATTATGTGCCAAATTCCCTTTAGAAATAGCTTATGGGATTCACTCTTCCTATGGCAAAAGTCTTCCATGACAGATTAGTTACATCAGACACAAATACTGTGTCTGCACAGACACCCCTATGGTGGCAAATGGGGCAGATCTCTTGCCTCCTGTGTTCATCTGTCCACGACACACAGACACCCCTATGGTGGCAAATGGGGCCTCCTGTGTTCATCTGTCTCAATGTCTACTGCATAGGAACAGCTGTAAAAGCCAGACCAAAGGTCCATCTGTCCCGTACCCTCTGTGTATCAGTGACCACATAAAAGCCAGACCAAAGGTCCATCTGTCCCATACCCTCTGTGTGACCACGAGGCACTGGTACACACTGGTTTAAGGCACAGTGGATACATCAAGTGACCCTTCCCCATTATATCCTCCCAGATCCAGCAAAATAGAAAGGAAAAAGACAAAGACACCTGTTTATCACATAGTGGATAACTTTTAGGTTTCTTTCTCTGGCTTAGAAAAAGTAGAGAGTTATAGAAAGCCAAAATTGTTCATGCTGAAGAGGCAGTGCTGAATTATTGATTTTTAACACCGTTAGATTTGTTTCTATGAAAATTATCCTCAATTGATGGTGAGCAAAGTAAGTCGGTGGCTCTCAGGCTACCTGTGCAATCAAAACCTGCAGCTGCAGAGGATGAAATACAAACATTGGGCTGTTTTCTTTTGACTGGTCCAGCATCTGTAAGAAATCTTACTAGTATTTAGAATGATTCATTCTAATGGATTTGCCAAGCGACGGCCCTTATCTGGAAATAGCATACCACACAAAATCAAAATGGACAAAGTATGTCACTGCTAATCAGATACACAGCAGGACTTGAACTCCTTTCAAAGCAACCTATTTCTTACAGCATCTCCTGGACAGGCGACCTACCTTTGTGACAATCTAGAGCTGTGACGCACTAGTTACAAAGCCTTTAGTGAAATAAAAGGAAGGAATCTTCCTTGATATTAAAGGATTGCTGCTTTTTTGTTGTTTGCATTTAAAAGGACACTATTGAAGAGCCTGTCTCCATGGGCAAGTATTTTTATTATAACACGTTTAGATTTGACATAGCCCCTAAAACCAACAAACCATTACCACCAGCCTTATTGAAACCATCTTTTTTCCTCATAAGCCATCTCTTTGCCAACATAAAAACCTGCAGAAGCTAAAACAAAGCAGGACAAGAAACAGATGTCTCAGGCCCGTCACTGAGCACAAGCTCTAGGCAATGTGAATGAATGTCCCATTTGATAGAGAAGCATAAGAACAACAGTAAACGCTGCTTTCTGGAGATACCATCTTCTCAATTCTTTCCCTCTATCAAGCCCTGTAGTATTAGTTGTTTAGGCATAATGCAAAGTATTGTAAATAACAAGATTCAGGACTACAAGCCGACCCAAACTGCCCAGGCTCAGACACCCTTATTTCCTTGGTGAGTTATTTTTAAATATTCCAAGAATGCAGATATGCAGATTCACAGACCTCTAGGACCCTGCTCTTATTCTTGTTCATCTAATGTTCAACAAGAAAGAGAATAGAAGCAATTGCTGATTTGATTCTACCGAGCCATTCTGGGTTGCCCTTCATGCTCTGAAGGAGTGCATTTTGTGGAAAGGATGGGAGGGGCTGCGGTCCCCAGTGCATGTGCTCCTCATCATGAGGTGCAGTCATGGGGGAGAGCACAGTCCTGTACCCTTCCCTCTCAAGTGTGACTGTATCCGCTCCCATTGGCAGGGGCTTTACACTGAAAAGCCAAAACAGAAAAGATGTGATTTTCAAGCAGCGAAATCAACGTGATGCTGAAGACAGATGAATTAGACCTATTGCATTTATTGAAAAATGTGTTTTAAAAGAAGATCTGGATTTGCATTGCTAAAGTTCTCAAGAATACAGTTCAAGCAGAGAACACGAAGAAAGCAAGCAATTATTAGGTGCCAATACTCCAGCTGCTGGGCGATTGCATATGTGTTTACATAGCGTTATGCCTCAGTCCCTTCTAAGCCAACACTATCAGACATTTCATGACAGTTTCAGTTGCTGGAGTAATGGAGGGGTTGCTATTTATTTAGGACTCTGACAGCTGGAACAAGCTGTTGTGCCTCCTATCAGACACCAATAAACAACGGTCACTTTGTGCTCCATAGCAGAAATCAAATGATGTCTGACCATGTCCTCTTGACTGTGTCCTATATAAAAAAAAAGTTGTTTCAACATAATAGGTCTCTGCAGGACTTAAAAAAAGCTTTAGAAAAATATGGATCAAGATATTGGTTCTAGCTTGTATATCCTTCTTTTAAACACTGATATTATCTTTCAGAATTATGCTATTATTGCTCAAATAATGCTCTCCTTTCCACTCTCCAGGCTAAGCTCAGAAGGTTTTAAGAGGCTTCTGTCCATTAAGGCTCTCTTCTGTACAAGAAGAGGGTATTAACAGGGCTCTTGCTTCAGCATACAGGAAAGCAGGAATTCCTGCTGGATGTGCTTTAGGTGTTAAGTCTAAAGGCAAAGTTTGAGTAACAGTCATTAAAAAGAATGAAAACAATAAACAAATGGTCAGATGAAAAAGGTCAAATCCTCCTCTGGGAAGGGTTCTCTCTCCATAGCACAGGAAGCCTGAAGAATCTTGGATCCTAACTCGGGCACCTCAGCAAGATGAGATGGACTGTAATTCCTCTAGGGCAGATCTTCTATCCTGGCATCTCCGTGTCTTCAGCTTGTAATCCAGCCAGGTGACTCAAGCAGAGGCCTGAGGACAAAGGAAGGAACACTCCACGGCCTCGTAAAACAGGTTAGCTCTCTGAGAGGAACAAACAGCAAATCTGTCAGGACTCAAATCAGGTTTAGTCCTGGTGTGTGAACAGACAAGAGAGCATTCAGGGAAGGGCAGGTTTTTTTACAAAAGCACAAAATCCTTCCAAGTCAAAGACAAAGGCTCAGAGCTAGTTGTTTATGACAGTGGACTTCCCTCTGGAAGAGTCATTATGAACAGAGTTAGGGCAGCAAATCACAGCTTACAAATTCAAAAGCAACAACTCATTCAAGGAAAAAAATGCCTTTCCATAAGTGCTTGTGCACATTATCAGCAAGATCAGAGAGGCTACATGTCCAAATAGCCGTTGTTCCTCCTGGGGCTTATTATTCTGGACTCACATTCTGCAAGAGCACTGACGTTCGGCAGGAAGCCATACCAGCTGGCCTCCCCTTCCCTAGTGCTGCTGTTGGGTCACCATCCTGACCATTTTCAGTGCCATCTCTCCTTGATCAGACGGTACCTAGCACAGAGATGAGAGCACATGGTAAGCAGCTGCTATAAGGAAGCAGACAGCAAGTATATATGCATCTTCAGTTTTCTTGCTGATAATGGTGCATCCCACCCCAAGAAGTATATTATTTACCATGTGCCCAGCCTTAAGAATCCAGAAGAACGCGAAGTTCTCATAGGCCTTGTGGAATGCAGCTGTCTCAGTGGATTCTGGAGACACATAGAGTGCCTTCCACCTTTGCTGCTTGAACTGGTCCACATTAGGCCATTTCAGTTTCCGGATCCATGCCTCCTGGCCTGTTAGAGATAAGAGATATGCTTGATTACCAATACTGACATAGCAACTTGGGAGTCCCAGTTCAGCTGGATGCCCACTGTACTAGATACCAATGCAGCAGTTAGCAGAAAGTCTCTGTGTGCTCAGATTCTAAAAACAATTTTGCTACGCCTAGGAAAATGACCAAGGCTGTGTTCAGGACAAGCTGAAACCAACCAATGGAGGGAGAAGGGAAAAAGCAAACAGTGAAGATGTACGTGAAATGGACTTATGATTGCACAAGTTGAACACGTGCCTCTTAGAGGCTCTGCAGCCCTAGCAATTCTGACATATTTTGCTTTACTCCTCAAACACCTTGAATGTCCTGCCATGGAGAAGGGTCAGCCACACCAAGACCCCCTCTTGGAAATCAAAAGAGACGCTGCTTCTCTGTTTGTTAGTCACTCATCAAGAAGAAACTGGAAAGGTTTTCTGTTTTCAGATGCCTGCTAGAGAAGGTGGAGGTCAAGACAGCAAAAAGACCAATTCCAGGACACCACAGGGGACAAAGCTTTAGCCTACCTCTGAACTACTGGAAGAATTTACATGTTAACTGCAGCTCAATTTTAGCTCAAAATGTGATAAACTGGAGCACCACTAACTGCTAATCTGTTTTGACAGCCTAAATACTCTATTTCCTGATTTATTGATTGCTATGTTGTTCATGAAGGGCATCTGAATATCTAAGTGGGCAGAGACAGACGAAGGATAAAGCCTTTCACAACATAGGAAGATGTTTACGCAGTCTGTGACTGCAGATTATTTATATCAATAAGAAAAGGTGAATGGAAGAGACCACGGCAGTCTCGCAGCATGAGGCATTCCAGCAACACTTGGCCTGGCTCCCAAACTGCCACTTGATCAACTGCATCTTGCAAGCAGCAAGGGACAAACAAAGCCCTTGAGTGGCCAAGACATGCAGGAGCCTACACATGTTACTGAGCAGCTGGTGTGATCACTCTTCAACTGCACCCTCCCTGATTAATTGCCAACACCCTTGTTCCATCTCACCTGGCACTATGCTCTCTGCTGCAGGCCACTCAGTGAAGGCTGACCTGTATTGTGCACAAATCTGCAGCAAGATACCGCCTTTGCCCCAGAGAACAGGATCTTCAAGGCACAGCAGGAGGATAATCGCCATATATTTATTCATGTATCCTCATTCTTCATTTATGAATGAGCATACATACATATATGTGTCTATCCAGAAGAATTAAGTGAATTATTAGCTACCTACTTACTTATGGGCTTCCCTGAAACAAGCAATTATTGATGTTGCAGATCCATTTCCCAACAGTGTAATGGAGGTAAAGGAATTGCCTCCCTCAGAAGGATGTAAACAAACCATACTAAGAGCTGCTCATTTATGACTGTAGTATTTAAGCGTTGCCAGTTAGATAGGAGATTTGCACAGAAGACTGGAGAGATCCAGGTACCAATATTCACGTTCTACTTGTCACATGTTCTGTTCCCAACCCCAGTCAAGAAGTCCCTTACCCATGGTGTCAACAATGAGATCCAGCTGCCCATTATAGACTGTAACACTGACGTTGGCTGCCAAAAGCTGATCAACAATATCAATGACAGGTTTCATGAAGTCCTCAGCCATGTTCTCAAAGACATCTTTGGACTGACCTGGTTGGAACCAGAAAGAAGACAAATTTTAACTGATGATGAATGTCATCCCCAAGCTGGGACAGAAGCAACTGGCTAAGGGTCCTAAAATGCAGTTCGTGGCTTCACAAAACAGTCCTAGCCCAAAGCAGCAGCCAGCGATTTATCAGTCTGAGGAACTAAAGAGAACCAGAAAGCAGCCATGCTCCCACTGGAGCTCACACACAGCATTGTAGCTTCTGGCTCCTATTATACACATACAGGGTGCAGGCATCAGTCCGTTAAGCCTTCCTTTCTGTTTTACGCCCTCCCCTCCACACCATGCAGCATTACAGGATACCAGATTTCTGGCAGAGAAAAACTGACAGGAATTTCAGCAAGACTGCGTGAAAGACAGAAACCAGCTGCTGAGACACGGGAGATCTTCTTCCTCCCCCTGCATTTTTAGCTGCTTGACTAAAGATAGATACAAGCAGCAGAATCGCAACCAGAACCACATCTGCTCCCACGGGCCTGCCCCATTACATGTTCATTTCTGAGAATAAGTCCTCTTCTTAGGCCCAAGGTTAATGACAGTTTAATGTGACTGCTTACTACACTAAAGTATCTTCCTACAGAGTGCAATACTGTAAAAGGCAATAATGCACTCATTAGATCCACACTAGCAGACAGGAAAGTACCTCCCCATTTCACACAGTCAGGAATAATTTTTAGCTTCTTTCTGATGGGTCCATTCATCAATTCGTTTAGGCTGTCCTTATGCATATTTTTGACATGGCGCCGGTAAAGTCCTACTGAAAAAGACACACTTTGATTAGTGGCACATTTAAGACAGTCATCTTCCATAGGTAACAATTTTCAGTGTTACAGTCATGGCCAATAAAATCTTTTCTAATGAAAATGCAACAACACAGAGAGATTTGCTTACTTTTACTAGAAACCACTGAAGTCAACCCTTATTTAGGTCAGGGGATGATACGGGAAGAACCCAACCACCCATTGCTACTTTTGGCTAACACAGCACTTTTTCAGGGGACCAGGTTCTGCTTTAGCCACTTGGTACAAACATGATTTCTTCTCCCCAACAGGCCAGTTATTTTTGAGCTCCAACACTTTACTTTTGGGAGTTAAGTGTGCCGTTCACCTTCACTGCTGAAGCCAATAGAAAGAGATAAAGAGCTTGAAAGAAACTCTATACATGTGTTTTTCACATTGATGCATAAACATCATGGAGTAAAAGAGTCTAATCAGACTATTTATATTGATGAGACATTTTTGTGTCCTAGCTTGAAGACAGAAATGAAAGACGTTAAGAGAAAGTAACTTAAAGGTCATAAAACTATGTTGCAATTATACTGACTACTTCCTTGGAATAATTTGTGCAGGATGTATAGGTGGAGGTACAATCTATAGGAGGGTTGTTCTATATTCCTATTTATCCCTATTTATGCAAGAGCAAACAAGTTCTGCTCAGGAGAATATCAATATCCTTTGGATCTGAAGGCCCCATTTTAAGGACATGCTAAATTAAGGCCGTTCCCACTATCAGAGTTGAAGGTACGTGAATGCAAACATAGGGCCGCAGAAGCTCAACTACTTAAATACAACTTACTGAGATGGAGATTTTCTTGTTCATTTGATTTCATCTCTGGAACCTCCTCAGTCATGATGTTATAAAAGTTCACATTGTCTGTGTTCTGAAATCACAAGATAATTTCAGTAACACTGCAACAAAAACATTTCTCAGGTATAAGGAACAGACTCGCTTCTGAAAAAAGGTAAGTCCTAAATAAAGGACCTTGTGACCTGCCACTTTACCTACATGTCAGGAAGATACTTATGGAAAAACTTTGGTTCTACATTTGCTTTGAGACGTGGGGAAGAGTTTTCTCAAGTCTGTATTGTTTACACATGGGTTGTGCCAGAGATGCTATTTACTTCTCCAAAACGGATGTGAAGCTACAGGAAGCCTTACACCCTGCAAATGACTGCAGATTCTCATTACTCATTATAAAGAGTTGCAACGCCAGATGATGCTTTCAGATGGTTTCTTCTGCTAGATCTAGTCTAGCCTGATGCTGCCTCTTGCTCAACATCCTCCCAACCTACAACCCTTCAAAATCTCAAATGCTTCCTCAAGAACGTTGTGATAGGCATCAGCCACCCCTCTGTTGGAACTGCTAACCTCTGGACGAGTCCAAGAATTGTAGAATGGCAGCTCTGATGCAGACAGCAGACTGTCTGCATCCAAAGGACAAGCGTGATCCGTGTTGCCATTAGAGAAGTTACTTGAGATTCCTGAAGCCCTGCTTTATTCAATTTTTGAATCTTTACAGTTCTGATGCATAGGTCAGAAATCAGCTCACAACAGCAACCCTAGAAGAACTAAGTGCCTGCACCCTGACAGTGATATCACAGCTGGGAGGAGAAGACAAGCAGAGTTGAAGAGAAACACAAAATCGGAACCACAAGTTCCTTCCAAACAGTAAGAAGTGAAACCAACTATGTGCAAGGCACTGTCAGTCATGAAACAAAACGAAACAAAAAAAGAGCGAGAAAAGGAAGCAGCTCCAGATTTGTCTTTCAGTTTGAGGAAGCCAGAGCCTTACTTGTACTAAAACAAAAACACAAGAAAAAGTGAGATTTTGGAGCAACCCTTCAACAGGTAAAAAAAAGAGCAAAACTTTACCTATCTTTTAAGCTGGAACTTGCTAAGTAACAAGATGCAGTAACCCACAGTAACAGGACGTAACTTGAGGTTCCTTTCCACCCTGTGCACCTATTGTAGTTCTTTAAATAGAGATCTATGCTTAACTTGACATTTGTGTCTTGGTGGATGCAGTTTTCAATATTCAGAACAAAGCTTTCAAGGACACATAGCTCATTTAAGTTGACACTGGGTTCTATAGAAATCAACGGGACTAGTTAAATGCTAAAAATTAAGCATCTATTTAAGTAATGTGACAGGTTGAAACCTTGATGCAATACTGCAAGCCCACGTGGGTCGCCCTACCCACTGCCTCTCTTACAATCACACAGTGGTGCACAGCAAACAAACAGCTCTTTTACATCAGCACTGGGATAAAACATGTACTGGCAAAAATGACTGGGCAGGGGGTTGGATGGAGGATTCACGCCAACCCAGTGCTCATAGAAAAGATAACCTGAAATTGTGTGCCTCCCCAAGCACCAGTTATCTATTTATGCTGGTCAGAGAACATCTCACCTCTTCAATGACACCTTCAGCCTTGCCCCAGAGCTCAGTGGCCAGCCCATATTGATTTTTATTTATTGCATCCATTATTTCTTTGGCAACAGCAGTCACCTCTGCTAGACCATTATCATCAAGGAGAGACTGGAAGACAAACACAAAGGAGGACAGCTTTAATTTCACAGTCACTTCTCGCTAACAGTCTCCATGCATTCGAGGTTTTATTCTGGCTATGAGCTAACCTTAAAAAACACCCATTTATACTATATGGCAGTACAAGTAATCAGGTGAGGACCAAGAGTTTAAGAAGCTACTTACAATGCTGTAAAGGTAGGGCCCCCAGGACAGCACAGAGTCTAAAGAAACAGAACAGATTTCAAACATCTAAGTTTTTGACATACGATTTCCTTTACTTTTCCTTTATTGTAGCAAGAATGATTGTGAAAATATATGGAGATGAATTAATCAGTAAAAAGGTACTGTCAGCTCAGTTTAGCCCAAAGGTTATGTACCACAGAGCAGGTTCTTTACAAATCCTGAGAACCAATAAAAGCACTGCAACGTCATTAACCCCCTAAACATTAATCAGTGAAGTTTATTTAAAGCAACAGACATGTTCTTACCAAGATGTTCTCACCCCAACACTGCAGCACGTTGCTAGAACATGGGGGGAGATCTGACAAGTGAATGGGCATTGTCTAAACTGATCTATTTGCAAAAGTTACAGGGGAAAAAAAATCTAGTTATAAAACAAATCTGTTTTATAACAAGTTCATTTATAAGGTCTCAAGGATCAGCTGATCCTAAGACAGATGGGAGTTTGCTTGATATTGTCCCATGCTGCAGAGGATCTGTGGAGCCTGCCCTTGCAAACCTCATTGAAGGACCGAGAGACCTTCAATTTTTTTGTCTTCCACCAGACACACACCCTATCTCTTCCAGGTCTGTGAGCACATCAGTTCCTCAGCACAAGGTCTTCTTGTGAAAAGAAAGAGAAAACCTCAGTTGCAACCTTGTGAATCATTTGGTGGCCACATTTTAAGTGCAGTACTCTTACCAAAACACCTCAGAGGCTGTAGAGATGTGTAGGGACATTTCAGCAGCACCCCACTTCAAATGCAAGTGTGCTCCTCACTGACTTTTCATAATCTAGATACATTCTAAAGGTAGATACCTCAATCACAGCTTGAAATGTTGAAGTATTGCTTTTTGATTTACCAGACTCACTAGATATTTAATTCACTTAAGGCAGGGCTGGCATTTTTGATGGTAGGTACCCATCGAATGGTAAAAAAAAAAAAAAACAACCCAACAAACAAAACAACAACAAACCACCCACAGTCTGAGGATTTTAAACATACCCAAAGGAGAAATCCATGAGTCTCCAAGAGCAGTCCCCATAAAATTGCACTTTATGGTCCCTTTTTGAACAGCCTTGGTGAACAATAGGAAAAACAAAAACAAACAAACAAACCACAAAAAAGAAAAAAATAAAATCAGCTTTTAGTCAGATATTCGTGACTCTAGAACCAGTTTTCTTTAAGTGAAAAAAATAAGTAGCAGTCCGAATTAGGCAACAGGGAAAGTGTATTCCAGGAGATATAAGTACTTGTAGAATACCACATTTTAAAGTGAAAAGTGAACTACATCCTCCAACTACTTACCTCATGCAGCTCTAAAGCAATGCCAGCAGCCATTTTACCTCCGTAAGATTCAGAAAATATGTAGAATGGGATGGTCTGGAGAGAGAGAGAAGTCACACAATGAACCTGTTGGACAGAGGGCAGAAGATACCTCCAACCACATCCCACAGAACCCAGGCACTGGCTGTTCACCTCTCACTATCAAAAACTGGATATTTTTCTGATTCTAAGCTGCAGATAAGATTTCCGTAACATCCTGGTGTAATTACTGGGGGAAAGTTTTGGAGCAGGCACTTCAGTATTTTGGAACTAGAAACAGCCATGATTCTACATGCTTCTCAGATCGCATGATAGACAATAATCCACCCCATTGCTCATCTAACTAGCACCAAATTCAAGATACCACTTCTGAATTGTGGGAAATAAGTGGTAGTGGTTATACCTGCACTGACTCCCACCAAATGCATGCTACCTAGTAGCAAACACTGCCCATCTGGAAGGCTGTTCACTAATTCCTTTTGAGATCCGTTTAAAAGCAAACTAAAATATGATTCTAACCAAGAAATCAAATCCCTTACCTGGAATTCTGTTCTACACGTGAAGAATTCGCGAAGAAAAACCATCATATCAGAAACTACTGTGGTAAGGTTTTTGGCAAACAAGCTACAATCATCCACATAACTGAATCCAGTGCCCACAGGATTATCCACAAACAAGATACTGGCTGCCTGCAACTGTACAAGCAGAAAGAAGGTTTGTATGAAACCTCAGCTCAGCACCAGTGCAAACCTTAGTTTTGATGGCACAAATGTTTAACTGAGCCGCCGAATCTCTGGCCCTGAAAGAACTTGCAGAAAAATTAGGTGCAAGTCCAAAAAAGAGAATGGCACAGGTGAGACTCGTCTGTCAGAATGTAAAATAAGACATTTTTTCTTTTGGGTTGCTGGGCTTTTGTGAAATTGCTATAGCAAATGCTATAGTTGTATAGTTACAAGTGTACAAATAAAATCAATAGATCAGCACACAGATAGCTAGCATGGCTCAAAGCAGTAAGGCTCACAAATAAAGAGGTACAACATAAGGTCTTTCAATTTGCCCAATCTGCAACAAGAAAGGCAGCCAAAAAATCCCAGTGATCCAAGGGCAGATCACCCATACGATCTAGGGAACCCCAGAGTAGTTAGACTATTGGTAGCTTAGAGCACAAATACATTTCATTGAATAAACCTCCACCTTCATAGGCAGCCGTAATTTGTTTTCCCTTGAAGGCCATACTGGACTTGTAATTACGAGCCATTGGTTATACGTTGCCAGCCATCCAGAAAAACCTCTACGACTGTACGCAATGAAGCTATGATCTGAAATAACATCTTTCTAGAACTTCCCTGCTCTCAGTTTCCCAGACATCTGCAATTCACAAGTTCATGGAAGCCCAGACATAGTATTCCATCAAATCAAATTAATAGGTCTATTCTTCAATTCTTAACAAGGATATTCATATAAGCCACTTCATTAACCACACTATTTTAAGATGAAATATCATAGTTCTATTGAACTTTAAATTAAAACTGTTCTGTGATGATAGCAATCATCTGCTTACACAAACAACAAACATTTTGCAATCAATAATTACAAGCTGAACTCTCTACTATACCCAGGTTGTATTTCTTGGTTTCATTTCTTTGTCTAATGGGCCAATCTCTTCAAAGTTCCCAAATCCACAGCCTGAAGCTCCTGGACCTCCCTGTGGGGAAATACCAAATGACAAATAAGTTAAAAGGCAGCATGGTATAGATATGACAGATAGGAGAGAAAGAAAAGCAAGCCAGTAACTAGAACCACAGATTGTAAATTTAAAAAAATGGCTTTTGCACTACATGTTAATTTGCAAAGGCGGCTCTCTTCCTCATCGTCTTCCATTATGCGTACACAGGCCATTTCTTAAAGCAAGAATTTAAACAGCGAAGCAATTACCCACTTGTGAAAGCATCTAATGAGTTGCAGGCTATGTGAGTGCAGTTTGAAAACCCTTCCCCTTATTCCCTTAATACGAATGCAAAAGTTAGCTATCTACAGAGGTTTGCAAGTCATTAGTTTTATCAGCATGCGCAGCGTGTGCATTTCACTCTGAAGAAATAACCCAGAAAGAAAAAGACCAAGTCATCAGGTGATTATATTCAACATTAACTTCTGAAATGTACTGCTGGAAGTGAACGTGGAGCACACACCACTGCCTTTTATCAAGCTGTGATTGAATGAGACCAATCTCTAGACAATCAAAGTCTCTCTCCCTTGTTTCCATTTAGAAATCTTTCTAAATCTCTGATCATTTTATCTACTCTCTCTCTCTCTGAACATTGTTTAGACTACAAGCTCTTCAGGAAAGTAGCTGTGACGCCACAGTGTACTTGTAGTGTCTGGCACAAAAAGCACTACTGTTGTATAAAAGATAAGAACAATCGCTATTTCTGCAATTTAACTTGCTGGAAGGTGAGCAGTTGAGGGCACCCCCCAATTGCAGAAAGGTATCTTCATTATTTCTTCCTAACCTGTATACCTCTTTCACAAGGTGAATCATTTAGAATCGGACAATTTTTAATCCTATTTCTGTAGAGCTGAAAGATACCTATCAGACTGAACCAGGCACAGACAGAAAGTTATCCTTTAAGTGTCTTTCACCAAACCTTACCTGAAGCCACAGGATAAGAGGTAATTCTGTGAAGTCTTTGGCTGGGTTATTTGCATAGTAGAGCCACCAGAACATGTGGGCCTTACTTCGAACTTGCACGTATCCCCACAGCTCTTTGGGCTCTTGGGATTGCCTCAGAACCACACCTTGGGGAGGAAATAAAAATCAGCTAGGTAAAAAGGCTCAGCTTTGAGCTTTCCACCAGTTTTGTTCCAAAACATTACATTTCAATCTCGGGTGTGATAATTAGAAGTGCTTCCATTAAAAAAATTACTCTAAGAAACTTGCCTATACTTACACCCACACACATAGCTGAGTTATCATCAATGAATGAAGTTAAGTGTGTAATTAAGTGCTTACTTATCAGGGTCTGACCTTACAGCTGCTGCTAAAATAGCAGCCCAATAGCTAGGATATTTTTTTTCTATCAGGGAAACATTTAAAGTCTTTAGAAGGCCTGGGCTGAAAGCACAGCCCCACTAGCCACAATGGATAACTCACACCAGCTTCAGGGGCACCAGGGCTCCTTCAGGGATCCAACACTTTGATCTTAGTCTCTGGGAACATCAAACCATTTTACAGTCCCCAAGGAGAGTAAATGCAGGATAGACAGGAGGGTCACTTCTAAACGAACCCAAGGTCTAATCCTAAACTCAATTAAGTCAGTAGAGTCTTGTCAACTTAAGCAGCCAGTCTATTCTCCATCTAGGACACTGACACTCTCCCAGAAACAGACCTTTGAAACTACATCCCTTAATCTTCTCGATCACGACAGAAGGCAGCAGTCCACTGGAGAAGCAGCAAAAAGGCTTTTTCAAGCCACAGTGCCCAGTCTTTGCTGATCCACAGGACACAGCGCTGAACAAGTTGTATCGGTGTGGACAACATCACACTTTCTTGATCAGCCCTCGCTTCAACAGCGGTGACACCCCGACACGGCTGTTTTGCTCCTGTCAGCTCCCTGCCCGAAAGGTCTCGCAGGTAAAACACTGCGGGCAGGGAGCTGTGCTCCCGTCAGCCAGTGTCAGACAGCACCGCAATAATCTCATGCTTACAGGCAGGCTGGCTTACGCGGCTTCTTCGGCATCCCTCACAGCTGCCAGGGAGCGGAAGAGGGTCTGGGGGTCCTTTTCAGGAAGGACAGACGACGGCTCAGGGTAAAACAGCGACGAGCAGCGCCGCCCTGGTTTGTGGGGAGCCTCTCCCACCCAGTTTACCCAGGTGAATCAACTGGGACCTGAATTTCCACTCCTGCTCCCCGAAAGGGTTCCCTGGGGCTCCGGGGAGCGCAGACCCCGGTCAGCCGGGTGGGAGGGGACGACTCCCAAGGTCACGAGCGTCCCCGGCAGAGACACGGCGACAGCCCTGGCTGGGACCGCGCACGGGCCCGGGCCCAGCCGCGAG